GATCTTTGATCCATTTTTACTTTAGTTTTGTGCATGGTGATAGACATGGATCTAGGTTTAGTTTTTGGCATATAGAATGCCAGTTTTTCCTGCACCACGTATTAAAAAGTTATCTTTCTTCCAGTGTACATGTTTGACACCTTTGTTGCTGAAGAGGTGGCTGAGTGTGTTTATAGTTGTTGCTGTATCTTCTCATGTATTCCATTGATCTTCAGGTGTATTTTTATTTCAGCACCATGCTGAGCATTTTATCACAGTAGCTTTGTGATAATAATTTCAAGTCAGGGATTGTGATACCTTCTGCCTTGCCTTTGTGGCCCAGAATTGCCTTTGCCATTCTAGGTTTCTTCTGGTTCCAGATGATTTTAGGTACAATTTCTCTAGATTTGTGAAGTATGCTAATGGTATTTTGATTGGAATTGCATTAAATCTATAGATTACATGAAAATTTTGGGAGAATGGCTATTTTCACAATGCTTGTTTTTCCTATCTGTGAACAAGGAATGTCCTTCCATTTTCTGAAATCTTCGATTTCCTTTTTCAGAGTAATGTAATTTTCATTATATAGATGTTTTACTTCTTTTGTTAGATTGGTTTGTAAATATTTCATTTTTTTGGATGCTATAGTGAAGGATGTGGTTTCCTGTATTTCTCTGAGTTTGTTGTTTGTGTACAAGAATGCTGTTGATTGTTGAGTATTGACCTTATATCCAGCTACATTACTGAATTTCATTAGTACATCTGCAAGTCTTTCAGTTGAGTTTTGTGGTCTTCTATGTAGAATATCATATCTGCAAATAATGATAATTTGACCTTTTTCTTTCCTATCCTTATTCCTTTTCTCTCTCTTGTCTAATTGTGCTGGCTAATGTTTCCAGAACTATATTGAATAAAAATGGTAATAATGGATATCCTTGTCTTGTTCCTGATTTTAGCTTGAAAGTTTTCAATTTTTGTCCATTTAATAAAATGTTGGTTGTTGGTTTATCATATATAGCTTTTATCATATTGAGGTAGATACCATTGACTCTGATTTTCTGTAGGGCTTTTATCATGAATGAATGTTGAACCTTGTCAATAGCTTTTTCTGCATCTATAGAAATAATCATGTGATTCATATTTTTGGCTGTATTGATATGGTGCTTTACATTTATTGATTTGCATATGTTGAACTACCCTTGCATTCCTGCAATGAATCCTACTTGATCATGATGTATAATCTTCTTGATGACTTGTTGCATTCTTTTTGCCAGCATTTTATTGAGGATTTTTCATCTGTATTCATTAGGGAGATTGGCCCGTAATTCTCTTTCAGTTGAGTCTTTCTCTGGTTTTAGTATTAGTGTAGTACTTGCTTCCAGGAATGAGTTGGGAGACTTGCTTCCATTTCAGTTTCATTGAAGAGTTTGTGAAGTATTAGCATTAAATCTTCCCTGAAGTTTTGTAGAATTCAGCAGTGAGTCCATCAGGACCTGGGCTTTCCTTTGTTGGTAAGGTTCTAATTACATTTTTAGTTTCATTAATTGAAATTGAGTTATTAAACAGTTTCACATTTTCTTGATCCACCTTTGGTGGGATCATATATTCCACCAAGGTGTCCATTTCTTCAGTGTTTTCAAACCTATGAGAGTGAAGGTTTTCAAAGTAGGTATTAATGATTTTCTGTTTTTTTCCGGAGTCTGTAGTTATTTCACCCTTTTTATTTCTTATGGCATGGATCTGAGTCTTGTTTTCTCTTTTTGATAAGATTGGCTAAGGGTTTATTAATTTTATTTATTCATTGAAAAAACCAACTCTTTGACTCATTGTTTCTTTGTATTGTTTTCTTGGTTTCAACAGTATCAATTTCTGCTCTGGTCTTTACAGTTTCCGCCTTTCTTTGGGCTTTGGGCTTGACTTGTTCTTATTTTTGTGGAAGTCTGAAGTGCAGCATTAGGTTATTTATTTGTTTTTGGTCCATTTTACTCATGTGGGAGTTCAGTGCTGGACACTGCAGTCTTTTTTTTTTTTTTTTTTTGGTACTGGGTATTGAACTCACAACTTCACTCTTGCCAGGCAGGTGCTTGTGCTGCTGAGCTAAATCCCTGGCCCACCTCTCAGTCTTACATTGTTTCCCTTTGCATCATCTTTCAGCTGTTGAATTTTTGTTTCCTGGTTCCTTGTTGTTTTTAATAGATCTTTTCTTTCATGATTATAAGCTTCCATCCTGTCTTCAAGGTCTGAGAGTCTTTATCTTTGGCTTCATTCAAGTGGTTTTGCCAGTTTTCAGTGGAGTATTTAATTTCCTAAATATCTCTTTAAATCTGTTTCATGCATTCTATTTCTGTCTTTTTTTTTTTTTTTGTCTTTTTCGTTTTTATCGGTACCACGGATCAAACTCACAACTGCCTGCTTGCAAGGCAGGCGCTTATGCCGCTGAGCTAAATCCCCAGCCCTTCTATTTCTATTTTATATTGTTCATTCAAGGTTCCCATAATTTTCTTATGTTTCTTTTTTTTTATGTAGATAAATGCTCTTTAGATACACAGAACATTTCTTTCATGTTTGTCGTTTCATTTTTTACCTGGAAAATTATTTCTGATATGATTTCCTTTTAACTTCATGGCATTCTTTAGTTACTATCATTTCAGAAAGTTCAGTTGTGGGATTTCCAGTGTCTTCCACTTAAGTGTCTCTTGTTCTCAGTGGGCTGGAGGACTGAGACTGCATTGTGCTCTTTCATGTGACTGGCCAGGCACCCTCCTGGTGGATTGCACTATGGAAGCTGTGCAGGGCAGAGCTTCAATCCTTCCATATCCCCATTGCTCACCATGGTGCACTTCTGACGTATTGTACTGGAGACTTGTGCTCTGTGGCCTGTGAGGCTGGCCAGGTGCTCCCCCGATGCACTGTGCTGGGTTGTTCTGGGATGCTGCGCTGGGCAGAGCTCCATGCACCTAGCAGGGTTATACTCTTGGAGTGTGTCGCTGGGACCTAGAACTTAACTGAGTGAAGTTCAGAACCTCTGGGACCCAGGTGGCTAGCAGGGACATGCCCCCAGATTGTGGTGCTGGAGCCTTGCGCCTGGCTGGGGGGAGTTCAGAACTTCAGGGACCCAGATGGCTAGGCGGAGTGTGCCCCTAGACTATGGTGCCACTGGGGCCTTGTGTCTGGGTGGGAGGAGTTCAAAACCTCTGGATTGTGCTGGTAGCTGGAGTGTGCCCCCAGTGTGTGGTGAGGTGGCCTTGCTCCTGGCTGGGCAAAGTTTAGAACCTCTGGGACCCTTGCGTGGCTAGCAGGGCCTCACCCCTTAACTATGGAACTTGGGCATTGTGCTCTGATGGGGCAGAACTCAGATTCTGCAAGACTCATCAGCTAGGCTGGTTGCTTCCTGATGGGCGCCTCTGGGGCTCTGGGCTAGGTTAGGCTTGTTACCTTTTTTATCTGTGAGGGTGGCCAGGCATTCCCCTGCTGGATTGGGCTGGGGCTCTGGGCTGGGCAGAGATTGTATCCTCCTTATAGCTTGAGAGGACTCACACCCGGAGTGTGGGGCTGGGGCCGTAAGCCTAGCTGGGTGGCCAGAACCTTTGGGACTCAGGAGGCTAGCTCTGTCCTTTAAGTCTTAAGACCAGCCACCAGTCTAATGCTGTTTAAATGGTGAAAGGAGTCCCAGGTTTTATTGTAGGCTGGTGTATTTTTTACATCTGAGCTAGATTTTATTTAAGAAGATCCATTTTATATAAGTTTATATTGAAGTTTACCAGGGGCATACTGTTACTCTCTGTATCCCTATTGTCTAAAGAGAGTTGAGCAAGGAGTACCAATAAATTTAGTAACTAGTTTAAATGCAATATATTCAGGAATAAAACCTTATAAACACCCCGTGTTTAGATGTATCATCATTTTAACAAAACTGTGACCAACAAAGCATAAGCAGTTATAAGCAATGGGAAAAGACATAACAGAATTTGAAGCATAAAAATTTGTTAGCTAAAGAACTCAAGTCTGGAGTCTATGAAACAAAAGCAAACTCTTAACATCTGTCCAATGATCAGTGGAACCCTCCAAATGATATATGGGAATGAAACTCCCAACCTACTAGATGTCCATTACAAGTTTGTGTTCTCTAAAATTAAAGAATGAATTTAGGAACAATGGAGTTTAAAAGCAGAGAATTGGAAAAAGAAAGTTTCTATCTGAGAGACGGAAGAGGTCCCAAGTGGGTTGCCTTATTTAGATTTTTTAAAAGAAAACTTGAAGTAAATGAAGGCAAGAAAAAGTTCATTTAAATGACTGAATAGAGATAAACTAGTTGGATTAAATTACTTTATTTAGGGGTCCTTTTATAAGCTTCAAATATTCTTTCCAGTCCCTAACATCACAGGCAGGTTTTTACATTTTGGGGAAACTGCTGGTCCCTACTTTTAAAGAAATTCTCAAATAGTTCTATAACTAAAATTGATTAAGGACCACCATCTTAGAGATTCAGTGGAAGAAGGATGTCTCTTAAGAGATAGATCAGCTGGGCATGGTGGCTCATGCCTGTAATCCCATCACTTGGGGAGGCTGAGGCAGGAGGATCATTGCGAGTTCGAGATCAGCCTGGGCTACAAAGTGAGCTCAAGGCCAGCCTGAACTGCATAGAGAGACCCTGTCTCAAAAAAAAAAAAAAAAAAAAAAAAAAAAAAAGAGATGGATCATCTGGTTTAAGAAAGAGGAGAAAAAATATAGAGAGGAAAGTTGAAAGCATGTGCCCAAAACAGGGGACTAACGTCATAAACTGATGTTCACGTATGTGAATGCATCATAAGATGACAATCAATGATGTATAGGAATCTGTGTAATCAACTGTGTCATAATACTATTCAGCCTTGGGGCTGGGGATTTAGCTCAGCCGCATAAGCACCCGCCTTGTAAGCAGGTGAGTGGTGAGTTCAATCCCCGGTACTGATAAAAAAAAAAAATCCCATAATACCATTCAGCCATACTTATGATCTTTGTGAATGTATTCTGTTTCCTAGATCTTTTTTCCAGAGCCTCTGTGTGCTTGGTTACTGTATACTTCCTTTGACACTGGCAATGCTGATATGCCGTCTAGTTCTACTGGCAGAACCGGGACCAGTAAACTTCATGGTTCGGCTTTTTGTGGTGATTGTGATGTTTGCCTGGTCAATAGCTGGTAAGTATGTACTTATATCTGTAATAGCAGAGCAAACCACAATATGAATTAAAGATGAAGAGCAGATTAGGAGCAAAGTCATGTGTGAGTGGTAGGATTCCTGTAGAACCCCCTGATCTAAGTAGGCATCACCAGAGATTGTGTCCCTTATATCTGAGTTGGGTATCTGGACATATAAGATATGGAGAGCCCCTTATTTTTTTCTTAAATAATGGACAGAGTTGGGTAAGTAAATTACACTAGAGTTAGCTGAGTTCTGATATGTATGAGACATAAGTGACTTGTGAAATTACTTGGACCTTTTCCTGATAAACTAAATCATAATAAAAATAATAGTAAAGATTGCTTACTATAGGCCAGGTATCACTGTAAATAATTTGTATATATTATCCCTTCAGTCTCACAGCAACCCTAATAGACAATTGCTGTTATTAGTCCCGTCATACAGATGAGGGGCAGTCACAGACAGAGTCAGCATGCTATCCTAGGACACATAACTAGTAGGTAAGAGTGAAGTTTCAAACCCAAGCAAGTCATACATCCTTAATAACTATACCATGCCACCTTCTGATGTAGGGTATAAATATCATTATATACAGGATGAGTATCCCTTATTCCAAATGCCTAGGGCCAGAGTGTTTCTAATTTTTTCCTCTTAAGATTTCAGCATATTTGCCTATTTATAGTGAGATCTCTTAAGGATGGAACCCAAGTCATTTATGTTTCATAAGAATCCTAAAAAGGGTTAAAAACTGCCTTAAAATAATTTTATACACTATTTTTAGTGTGCCTGTGTTTTGATGATAACCTGTCACATGAGGTTAAGTGTATAATTTGTTTCATTTGTGGCAAAGTTTTAGATTTTGAAGCATTTCATATTTTTGGATTAGGGACTTTTAAAAATACCTGTAGTACTTTTCTGCTGGAGTAGAACATTTTGCTAAAAATTAGGAAGGATGCATAGAGTGGCAGCGAATGCTACATGCTCGTTTTTTCATGTTCCTAAAATTCTCTTTAAATTCAACTTAAACTAGAAGTGTTCACTAGCTTCTGATTCTATTTTTAAGTACAGTAAGATCTGGAACATGGTTGAAAACTACCAACCTGAAAAACAGGTCTGGGAAGGCCAAAATTGCTATTGCAAAGACCAAATATTAAGTATGGGTGCTTTCCCCATGAGAGAGTCCCTCACTCCCTCATTTAGAGTCCAGTGATTATTGTATGTGTAATTCTGACTAGCTTACTTACCTAGTGACTGACTTACAACAGATTAGTGTGAGGCACTGTGCTAGGCATAAGGCATGGTTCTTGGAGTTCATAATCTGGCAGAATAGTCAGATACAAAAACACTTAAAGACAACAGTGTTCTAGGTGGGAGATAGAAGTCTGTGATGTGAAAGGTACAGTGGGGACACTGAAGAGGGACGTAGGCAATTCTACCTGGGGTGGAAGGCTACCAAATTGAGGAGAGACTTCCTAGAGGGGATTCTTTGGTTTTTGTTTTGTTTTGTTTCTTGAGACTGGGTCTCTTTGTGATTCAAACTGGCTTTGAACTTACTTTGTAGCCCAGGCTGGCCTCAAACTTGTGGAAATTCTGCTGCCTCAGACTTACAGGTGTGTGCCGCCACACCAGGCTGTTAGAGAGAGTTATTCTTGAAGAGTACAAAGATGAGTAGGCTTCCCTTGGGTGGCCAGGGGGATGGAATTTAACAGAACTGATAATATATGAAGAATAATTAGCTCAAAAAATGTGGTAGAATGAAGCCATTTCCCATCAGAACAAATAACCTTATACATCATTGTAAGTATAGTTTTCAGTTTTCTTACATTTTCAATAAAATGTAAGAAACCTCTTTTAGAAAGGTTTCTTTCCATCTGGGTGTAGTAGGACATCCACACAACTGCAGTACTCTGGGAAACAGGCAGAAGGATTGTGAGGTCAAGCCCAGCCTCAGAAATTCAGCTACTTGTTGAGGCCCTGTCTCAAAATAAAAAAGAAATGGCTGGGAATGTAGTTGAGTGCGAAAGTCCTGAGTTTGGTTCGATTCATAGTACTGAAAACAAAAAACAAAACAAAACACCCTGTATCTGAAATTGTTGAGAACTGAAACAAGAAGCTTTCAGCTGTCTGCAGCAGATCACACATCTGAGTGTATTTTTTGTGTTAGGCATCAAACCCAGGGCCTCACAGAAGCTAAGTATGTGCTCTAGCATTGAGGTACACCCTCCAGCCCTGTATAACTGAACTATTAAGATGATTCTCGGAGGGTCACTAACAGAATTGTACTTTTAGTGTGATTCTCTGAGGTTCATGAATAGAACTGAACTTTTAGTGTATTTATATATTCTGGATTTATGGCATGCATACTGATGTTAGTAGTCATGATAACATTTTTATATTAAGTATTCCTTTTCTTTTTGTTTAGCCTCTACAGCTTTTCTTGCTGATAGCCAGCCTCCAAACCGCAAAGCACTTGCTGTGTATCCTGTTTTCCTGTTCTACTTTGTTATCAGTTGGATGATTCTCACCTTCACTCCGCAGTAAATTGGGAAGCAGTAATTTAAAATCAGTGAACTTAAGGCTCATTGGAAAGATACCATTCACCACGGAACTCTGCCATTAGCCCTTTTGTCAGTTTTTGAAGGTTATTAAAAGGGAACCATGCAGCACTATTGTCATTTATGTAAAGGAACTCACATTTGCAAGACTGGCCTTTCCTCTTAATGTTACTTCTCTTGAGTACATGTACATACTACACACAGTACAGTGCCTCCTTAAGGCATGATGAAGTCACTGTTCCATTTGGATAACAGCTAATGACTTAGGAAGATCATGGATACATCCTACAAATTGAACAGAATTGGTGATTATTTTCAGCTTTGAGAAAATCAGTTCAGGTGCAGCTCTTAAAAGCATTGCCTTATGACTATTAGAATATATTTCTTATCATAAATAAGAATAGATAATCTATATCCATTTTCTTTTATTTCTCTTTTTATTTAAAGAAAGACAAAACAAGATAGAAAATGGGCAGAAATAGTACATACTTTCAAAGAAAAGAAATAGTAATAAATCACTAGCTGATGTATACATATTGTCCCCCTATAAATAGTTGTTCAAGGTACACAAATGGAACATATAAATGAGATTTCAACCAGGGAGACTGCAAACAGTTCTGTTTAACTATCCAACAAAAACTAAGTATTATGGCTATCAACCCTATACACTTAGACATCTACGCGTTTATCCATGTCTTCATTTATGTTGAGACCTAACAGAGCATATTAGATTAAAATCCTTCTGAACAAAGATTAATAATATTGCTGGATTTCACATCATAACACTCTGGAATCAGGATTGGGTACTGCAGTGCCAGTACTCATTTCTTTCATAGTTTTTGTTCATTTCATCATATGTCATCAGATCAGTGCTCATAAACTGTTGATACGTTTTACGTAAGCTTGAGTCTCAACATGTATTTCTATCCTTTCTGTGTTCGAGGGAAAAACATAACAAAGCAAGGCAGAACTAAACTTTTTCCTATAGACATATAAAACTAAAAAGAGATCTAAATCTGCTGTATAAGGAGTTCTACCATGGTCACTGTGCTGTTTCTTGTTATCAACAGAATTGGCTATATCATCAGATAAAGTATAATTGAGCATATCAGTACATAACAGAATTAACAGAAATACAACTTTATAGATAGTACAGAGCTACTAATACAGGTAGTAATCAAATTGGTATGGATATCATAGTGAATCATTATCATTTTCGGTATAGTTTGCACTCCTCAACTTGTTGCCATCAACCTTACAGGTTTTGAATAAAATCTATCAATAATAAGCAGCAATCAAACAAGTCAGATTTAACTAAGATCAGTCATGATATAACAGTATAAGTCATACATGGATACTGATTGAGTTAATAGGGAATTAAAGATGTCCCCTATGCTATGGATAGCCGTCTGTGACCCTCAGATCCAATGCTTGCATACAAACTAGGACAGAACGAGTTCCAACCCAGCAGAGTGGTGCAAGTAATAGGGGTTTTAATTCCTGATACACTATTAGCTATATCTTCTGCTGTTTTTTTTTTTTTTTTGAAGACTATTCCTCTTTTACTCCCCCAGAATGAACTATTTTTGGGTCTCCCCAACACTCATGATTTTGTATTGGGGGGGTGCGTAACCTGCTGTTTACTTAAGTGTTTCTGAACTTTCTCACTCCTGGGTTGGATTTCTAGTTATATTTCTTCATTTCTTGAAGCTTGTCTGTTCAACCTATCCATATATACTGGTCTAGTTACCCCTATTACTCTCTGATTGCCTGTCACATTGAGTTCCATTTTCTCATGTTTGATTTTGATCCATATAACCTTCTTCAGGCTAATTATATTTCCTATGAAGAGCCTCTCAGTGGACCCTATCTTTTTTTTTTTTTCTTTTTGTCTTTTTCATTTTTATCAGTACTGGGGATCAAACTCATGACCGCCTGCTTGCAAGGCAGGTGCTTATGCTGCTGAGCTAAATCCCCAGCCCCAGGTGGACCCTATCTCTTGTTCCTCTCTGCCTGCTATTCTCTATTTTTTCCCTGAAGTTAGGGTATCTAGGCCATCTATATTAGGAATTATGTCCAACCTCTGTCTCATTTCTGTTGAGCTCTTTTTCTGTCATTAGTTATGTTTGTCTTCTTCATTTCACTTTCTGCTCCATTCATTGTGGCCTCTCTGTTACTGTTTTTGGAATCTTGTTTTTCTCTTGTAGAATGTCCTGCAGTATTCTCTGTAGAGTTGAATTGGCGGTTGCAATTTCCCCTAGTTCCTCTTTATCCTGGAAGCTCCTTGTTTCTCCATTAATTTCTAGGGACAGTTGTGCAGGATATATCAATCTTGGCTGGAGGTTATTATCTTTCAAAGCTTAAATTATTTCCCCCCACGCTCTTCATGATTTGATGGTTTGTGCTGAGATGACTGCTGTAGTTCTGATGGGTGTTCCCTTGTAAGTGATCTGTTTCTTGTCTCTGACGGCTTTTAATATTCCATTCTTATATTGAATTTCTGGATATTTATATTGGATTTATTGTATGCCTGGGTGTAGTTCTGTTTGGGTTGTAGGTGGCTGGGGTCCTGTATGCCTCATACATCTGAGTATCTTTACCTTTTACTAAATTAGGAAAATTCTCCTGGATTATTTCTGTGAATAGCCTTTGTAGTTCATTTGTTTGTGTCCCTACTTCTTCCTTTATGTTCTTAATTCTTAAGTTATAGATCCTTTTATCATCTTCTGCCAGACATTTGTATTATTGTTTGTTTCCTTGTTGTTTTTAAGAAGTTTTTCATTTCATGCTCTCACATTACAAATCTGTCCTCCAGTTCAGATAATCTATCCTTAGTTTCTTTCAAGCTGTTATGCCAGCTTTCAATAGAGTTTTTAGTTTCCTGATAATCTCTTTGAACCTGCTTCATGTATTCTATGTTTTCTCTTTTCTCCATCAAACAATTCTCTTTTTTTCTGTTCTTCTATTCCACCATCTGTTTTTTCTTGGACGGTGCTTAGCATTTCTCTAACTATTCTACTTATATCTTGCTTTACTTCATTAAATACTTGACTTTTGAACTTGTCTATGAGGCTCCGGAGATAATTGCTTTATGTCTATTGGTGCTGTGTCTGATATTGCATGTTTACCTTTCCTGGATCAGTATTCTCAGGACTGGGGACTGAGGACCCTTTCTTGTTGCCTCCTCTTTGCATATTTTTTGTTCCTTCCATTCAGGCATATATAGGAGGCCCAGTTTCTTTCTTTGTGGGTTACAGTTTGTTTGAATCGCCACAGCTAGGTGTTCCTGCCCACTGTAATGCACTAGGAAGATAGAGACCTGGGCAGCCTCTGCTGGGCCCGTCCCTCCAGTTCAACCTACTGAAGGCTTCACTGCTAGGGTGTGCCCCCAGGCGCAGGGACCTGGTTTGGGCTAGCCTACTGGGTCTTAGTCTGTGGCGTCACCCAGGTCAGGCACTCCTCACCAATCCTGCTTGAGAGGGGAATATGCGACTGAAGTCACTGTAGCGCCCTGTTCTGGCTAGTCTGCCCAGTCCCAGAATGTCCTCTGTTGGAGCCTCCTTATCTGTGGAGGGGTCCCCATTCCTCTCATTCACCCTAGGTCAATGCAGGGCTCCCTGCCAGTCCCGCTCTCAACTTTGTTCGCTGATTCCGCTCTCAGAGCTTTTGCGTCTCTATCCCTGCTGTGCCGATTCAGATGCAGCTGCGGTGGCAGGAAATTCAAATCGTGGTTTCCAGAGGCACGGGTTCCAGCTTCGGTGCTGAGATTTTATGCATTCCGGTCATAGCACTGGGATTCCATTTTCCGTTGGTTTCTCTCAGCTTAGTTCGTTCCTGGGTCGGCAGGGTATATTTCCCCCTGTTTAGGACTCCCCACACCACACCATTCCTGGATTCTAAGCTGACTATCTCAGAGCCTCTGTAGCTGCTGTTATCTATCCACCATGTTCTTGCCTGATCTTTTATTTCTCTCTTTAAAGCTTAAAAAGGGCATGGCGGAGGTTAGGGACATGGTTCATAGATGTAGGAGAAAACACATTAACCAATACTCAGATTTTGATCAGAAGAAATTCTATACTTGTTGCTTTAAAAAAGAGCAAGGAACATCTAAAGAGTTGGCCTCTTTGGTCTTTTTGGACAGCCACCTTTCTGTCATGTTTAACAGCAACCATTTGCAGCAAGCACTTGCAACTCTCTAGTGTTGTATTGTGTTTTGTTTTAAGATAGGATCTTGCTGTGTAGTCTAGGCCAGCCTTGAACTCACTGTGTAGCTCAGTCTGACCTCAAACTGCTGGCAGTTCTCCCACTCAGGCTACTGGATTCTGAGATTTGAGGAGTGCAACACCACACCCAACTTTTAGTCTTTAATTTTGTTCTCTAGTTCTGCATATGCAATCTTAAGATATTAGTAGTTGACATGTAATTCTCCTTTGTCTGAAGTTTCAAATGTTCAATGTTGAGACTTATCCAAGGAGACAACCTTAGACATTTATATTGGTGTGTCTCTAAGGCATATTATAATTCCTGAAAGCTACAGTAGTTGTGATACAGCATACCTAGAAGGAACTCTTCATTATTTTATGTAGTCTGGTCTTCTTTGACCAGAAAGTCAAGCTAAATCAGGAGTTGGCATTTAACCAAGTGAACATGGAGGGATTTTAGTGTTTTGATGACTGATTCAGACAATAGGTAAGGCATGACATGAGTTGAATTGAGTTTACAGCTGTTACCTTTTCAGAGTGGGCTTAGCAGTTTTTTTCACCAGATGTGTTTTGATTTGGGGAATAGCTGTTTATTAGTAAAGAAAGCTAATTAGCTCTCTTTTAAAGAAATACATTTTGTACATGTGCACCTAGTTGTACTCAAATATTTATGCATAAAGTGTGAAGGCTTTTCAGGGAACTAAGAGTCTGGGACAGGTTGATTTTTTTTTTTTTTTTTTTTTTTTTTTGGTACTGGGGATCTTGTGTTTGCCAAGCAGGCATTCTTGCCTCTGAGTTAAATTCCCAGCCAGCCGGGGCAGGCTGATTCTAAGCTAAACAGGGCTCCTAAAGTAATACGAAATTATACTTTAAGGAATTTTGGGAGACAAAGATTAGGAGTCAGGCAGAAGGTTCATTGTAAATATGCAGTTATCTATAAAGATGAGAATTTCTTATTCTACATTCTTCATCATAGAGTCTAAATATTCATTGATTTTTTTTTTTTTTTTTTTTTTTTTTTTGGTATTGGGACTGGAACTTGCAACCTCAACGCTTACCAGGCAGCTGCTGTGGCACTGAGCTATATCTCTGACTCATTATTTTGTGTTTAAAAGACTACCTGCATATAAATTCATAATTTTAAGAATGTAGTTTCTCTATCCTCAGAAACAGTACTAAGCCAAAAGGATTCTTAAATGACAGTCAGTTATAAAAACATTACGGAGTTTGTCCTCTCTGTTCCAGCCTTGTCCAGAATTTTTGGATATTGATTTATAGTCACTGTAATTTTATCCTTTTTTTTTTGAGGCAGGGTCTCTTTATGCAGTTCAGGCTGGCCTTGAGTTCACTTCGTAGCCTAGGCTGGCCTCAAACTCGCAATGATCCCCCTGCCTCAGCCTCCCAAGTGCTGGGATTACAGGCGTGAGCCCGGCTCTGTAATTTATCTTTTAAATTGTAAAATAAATCCTTGTAAAGACAAAACCAGTATTTCCTTGAGTGGGTAAAAAAATTTTGAAACTAATCCTAATTTTGAAATTGTTTCTAAATTATTTCTGTTATCTGGAATTTTCTAATGTCCCAATAAAATCTCTCTCCCAAAATTATTTTGTAATCTGCCCAAAAGGTTAAAATGGAAAGTTAAAGAAATAACTGTTTCAAAAAGGGAATGAAGACTACCAAAGTTTACTCAGGTGGAGCGTTTTATTAGAAATTCCTGAGGCCACAACTTGGGGAGCATGTGTGCCTGGAGGTGTGGATTTTACATATTGAATATTAAGGCAGCTTGTTTTGTGTATTAATGTGTTGCTCTTTGGTGACTTGAAAATGATTTTAAATGATTAAAATGAAGGCTTAGGGCCAATGGTGACAGTTTAGGGTTATAGCAGTTGCCTAGCATATGTGATGCTCTGGGTTTAATTCCTATCACCAAAAAGAAGGTGGATAAATTGCAGGTTTAATTATTTTTTTTCTGAAAGTGAATGATCACTTAGAAGGTATAAATAAATATTATTTTCCAATGAATGCAAAAAAGTGCATTGCTTTCTGCAACAGAAGACCTGAGTATCTAGAAGTCATAAGCCTCAGCAACAGCTTTACCTAATATGCTATACAGACACATAGCTGGTTATAGAAATGGGACCAAAAGGGCAGCCATTCCTGATGGCAGAAATCCTGATGCAGGTATTAGAGTGTTTCATGCTTAAAATGAGATGCAGCGTGAGTGTATCACTGCAGAACATGGGGCGTCATCACCATCATGGATGCTCTCTTGCTGTTCTACCTCTGAGACTGAGATTGTTTTTATGTTCTTTAGCAATACGAAGGGTAAAAACTTGGTTTCATTTCTATTCAAACTATAAAATCTGTTGGTAATAACATTTGAACATACAGTATGGTCTTAAAATTCAACTGTGAATCATTAAGTCTTTAATGATTAAAAACTCTCTTATGGAGATTTTTTTTTTCTTTTCTTTCTTTTTTTAAATTGTCTTTTTGAGACAGTTTCACTATGCATTTAGGCTGGCCTTAAATTCTTTTTGTAGCCCAGACTGGCCTTGAAATAAGCAGTCATCTTGCCTCAGCCTCCTGAATGCTGGGGTTCCAGGTGTGTGCCACCATGCCTGGCCTTCTTAAGAGGTTTTTAAAGTGAGTTAAATTTGATCTTTTCATTGTGATGAGATTTTTCTGCTGTTGGGCAAGTTACAAGGCTTGGGGCGGGTAATCATTTTATTGTTGACTTTTTTAAAAATATAAACTATCCTTCAAAATGTGATGGGATGGCTAGCTAGCAAGCATGTATTTGGAGGTTTAATTATGTACTTTATATATTCTGTCGATTTACTGGATTTCGACTGCCTGTTTATTCCTGGAGATAAAATGAAAATCTATCAGTTCAAGTTTGTGGGTAAAAAAATAATTGTGGGTAACATTATTCATTGGAATTTAAATAATCTCATGGTTTAATAAGACATGCAGGTATTTTAGTCTTGTGTGAAGCACTGAAATTGTCATTCATAACTAGACTTTATTTCTGAGACATTTGGTTGGAAATAAATATATGGATGTTAAACCATGTGTATAAATTAGAAATACTTTTCTAGATTCTGTGGGCTTTTATTAAAAATAGAGACTTTCTGGGAATTAACTTGGGCCATAGAATGGCCAGATTAATAATAATAATACTAATAATAGCTAATAACATTTATTGGGCACTTACTGTATACCAGGCATTATTCTGTTTTAAAATATTTTAATAATAGCTTTATTGAGATACACTTTGTCCTGAAATTCACGCTTTTAAAGTGTACAATTCAGTGGTTTTTAGTATATTCACCAAGTGACACAATTATCATTGCTATCTAATTTTAGAACATCTTTCTACCATAAAGAAGTCTGGTCCCATTAGCAGTCACTTCCATTTCCATTTCCGTCAGCCCCTGGCAGCCTCCTTTTGCTTTCTCTATTGATTTACTCAGCTCTATTCTTCAGTGCTCCTCTTGACATCAAGTGCTGCAGTTCTCATTTTAGAAGTAGGAAATTGAAGCACAGAAAGGTTAAGTAACTTGCCCAAGGTCACTTAGTAAATTAATTTGTGATAAAATTTGCACATTAGATGAGAACGTAGTAGGACCAAGTTTTTAATTGCATTTGTTGCATATATGAAACAAACACACCCCTTCCCCAGGATATGTTCCCTTGTTACTAGCCTTTGCACCATAGAACTGACTGGAGATAGATAACTGTTTTTTCTTTTTCTCAATATTAGGAATACTGCATAACAGGGGCATATAAAAAGAACACAAAAGCCATTGTACATGGGAAGAGTTAGGTTTGCTTCTCTCATCCCTCCTCTCACCCTTCCTCTCACTCCATTTCTTTCCCTTCCTTCCTACTGGCCACCACACATGTGCATCCCTTTTTCTTGAAATCTGAAGGCTCAAACTCCCTTCTCTTTTGTTCTAATTCTCCCAGAAGGATAGTTAATGCATCAAACTGTAGCTTGTCAATTTAGAAAATGTAATGGTGAAGGGAAGCATCTGGTCACAGTGACAGTGGTGTTTATGTGACTCAGTGAGCATTCATGTGAGAAGAAACTAGAATGCTATTCTAACGGCGATAAAATGACATTTAAAATAAAGGCTTCACTTTTTTGAAATCAGTGTCCCCTGGTAGGAAGTAGCCACATCCTGTTTTTTTTGTTTACTCTCATTAGAAGCTTTTGTATTCTGTGCAGTCACTACTGGTATTCCCTTGGTTCTCTTCACTAAAGTCCTGGTCTTTTCTATAAATGACAGACCTGTGAAAAGAGGAAACCCATACATAATTTGAATGTTAAATGTGTAAATAAAAAAAAACACTAGAAAAGGAGAATTTGTGTATGCCTATCCTTGCTCTGAGTATTTGCAGCATACTACTTGTAGATACATTTAGTGTCATCAGACAATATGGAATGCTGTAGGATTCTATGGGGGTAAGTTAGAAAGGACACTCACATTTATTGAGCAAATACTGTATGTGTGTGCTGGACACTTTATTATTGCTTTATATACATTAGCTTCTGTAATCACTGTAGCCTCTTTGTAATTCAACACAATGCAAAGCCTATAAACACAACTGAAAGACTGAAAGGTTTATTACTTGGAGCAAGTACAGGTAGCACTGGAAATAATTTCCAAAGCAGTTGCCCTAAGCAAGGGGCCTTTATGGAGGAAACATTCCCACAGGAAAGACCACATGTGGAGGTGGGCACATTCTTGACCATGCTTAGCTCCAAGTCCTGCTGCTTCATGCCTTGGGCAGGGGGAGAATTTAGTATTAGAAGGAGAAAGTTTAGTTCACCTAAAAGGGATGGGGCAGGGTAACTGCAATTTTGTTTGGTCCCTTGTAAGTTTCTGTGGAAGGTCTGATATGAAACAAAAAGAAATGAAAGAAACAACACCAGCAATGGGCACTTGTAAGCTTTCCTTGTTAAAAGTTACAGAATAAATTATGACATAAATTTAATGAAGTACATTTGTTAATTGTAATAATTTAAAAGATTGATATGGATAATACTTATATTTGGGCAATAATTATTCAAATTCAAGCAACTAACTAGATTTGGTCCGTTTTTAGGCTTTTTATTTTATTAGTAAAAAGACCAATCAAAGTGATTAGATCTGTTTGTACCACCAGTGGTGCAAGCTACCTGACTGGACACTCATGCATGTACCACCGGTGATTCAAACTTGTGCATCTGACTAATTCACTTAACATTTCTCAGAGTGCATCCATTTATCCACTTCCTATTTTGTTTTTTCAGAAATATTTAATATATATGATAACTTATTTATGCTACTAGTTTCTTTTAGTTCATTGAAAAGAAAGTTTCAAACTAGTATGTTTATTTCTTTGTAAGAGAATCTTTTTGGTCCATTGTCTTGTACTCTGAGTAACTACTTTAAATGTAACAATATATAGAATATTGACTATTGCTATTTTGTTATGAAATTGCTTTTTTTTCCATAAAATAAATGCAGAGACAATTTACAGTCCTTTAAACGGGTAATGGCTCTTTCTTGCAAGTGATTGTCCCTGAAAGTACTATACCTGACTACTGACTTACATTTTGATATATGTAGCATTATCCTTATCTCAAAGTTGAGGAATCTGAACCTCAGAGTTTAAATAAATTTCCCAGCTATATTCCCAGCCCAATTCACAGTTGGGCTTTATAACAATAAAATGTCTTTTGCTTAGTTCCTTGCCAAATTAAAACCATACTTACAAACAAATTAAAGCAAATTTAGTTCAATAAGCAGTTTATGAGCTTGTTGTGAAACTTTAATTTTCAGCCTTCTACTTGAGAGACTATACCCATTTTTGCTTTTAATTTTATAATCTATTTGAAACAAAATTCCTCTGCCCTTCATATATAACAGTTCAAGAAGTCATGGTTATTACTTTTGGTACCATGTAAAATACCAACCCAATCAATAAAATTGAACAAAATTTTTTTTGTTTTTTTTTTTTTGCCGGTACCAGGGATTGAACTCATGACTGCCTGCTTGCAAGGCAGGCGCTTATGCCGCTGAGCTAAATCCCCAGCCCCAAAACTGAACAAAATTTAAGTATTGACATAATTTGCATGATCTAAGAGAAGGAGAGGAAGGGCATCCCAGGTGGTAGAGCATCCCTGAGAGCAAAAAGGAACAAGCAGGTCTGTAAAGCCATCTGTGTGTGTATGGATGTCCCTGTAGCACATGGCCCTGCACCTAGTCACAATGTTTTGTATGACACTTTTCTAGCTGACTTTATTTCACTTCACAAAGTAAGTAAAAAACTAGAGTTTATTTTAGAGTTAAGGAAATGAGCTCATAGAAGTGCCCTGGATTACAAAGTCATTCTCAAATATGCAGTTGGAATATTGCTTTTTATATTAATAGTCTTCCTAATGAGAAATGTTGGAGTGAACCAACTAATTGAGAAATAAAGTCGATACAAAATTATTGAAAACTAAGGAATTTATGAAGTTAAGGGCATACTATAGTGTGAGATAGGGGGCTGCCTTCAAAGGAATGTCTTACTGAAAGTGACTGCAAGGTCATAAATGAGAACATGGTGAGAAATGGGATTGAGAGGAGGACTCAGTGGGAAGAGAGTGCAGTGTTCAGATCTGTAAGCCCAAAGCCTGAAAGGGTAGTGTGCTTCTGAGGACAGTTGTCTAGGTGCCGACTTAGGCTATGGGAGTGGTGATATTTCACAGACAAAGGAAACTGTGAGTGCAGGTAGAAGTCAGAGCTGGAAATAATCATTTGCACTTACAGCTGCAATTAATGTTGAGAGAACACAGTATCCCAGTGACAGCTTGACAACCATGGCTGCCAGAGAACTGGACTATGGAAAGGAACCAGTTTAAGAGGAGGTAATGAAGTTGAAACAAGGATTTTCACGTTATCTTCATCTAACAACCCTAAAATGAAATTACCCTCATTTCATATTAGGAAGTTTGGATTCAAGCCCTTGCCTAGAGTAAAAGCCAGAGAAAGAATGTAGGCAGAGATGAATAAAGACAGAAATTTATGGGAAGAAATAAGTGAAGAGGTAAATTTAACTACGGTATAGAAGGCACTTTAATGAAGATATAAACACAGGCAGTGGAAACCCAAGGATGAGACTCTTTCTTCTTTCTCTCTTCCCTCTTTCTCTTTTCCCCTCTTTCTTTCTTCCTCTGTCCATTCCTCTTTCTTTTCTTCCTTTTTTCTTTTTGGTTTTTCTCTCTTCTCCTCTTCTCGCTCCTCCCTTCCCTTCTTCCTTCCCTTCTCCTCCCTCTCCCTCCCCCCCCTGCCACTCTGGGCTGTTAAGCATATCTCTGTCATCTTGGGTTAGTTTTAGTAGTTTGTATGTGATAACAATCTGTCAATTTCATTGAGATTTGCTAATTTGTTGAATCATAATTTTTTGAAGTAGTGACTACATTTTGGATTTTGACAATGTCTGTTGTGATTTCACCTTTTCTATTTCCAGTTGAATTTATATGAATTTTCTTACTTTCTCTTGGAAAATCTGGCTAAGGACTTAATAGTGTTATTTATTCTTTCAAAGAACCAGTGCTTTGATTTGTTGATTTTTTTTTACAGTTTATTGATTTCTACTCATCTTTATAATTATCCTCTGTAATTTTGGTTTGGGGCTGGGTTGTTGTTTCTCAAATATCTTAAGATTTCTCATGCATTTGTCTATGTGAGCTTCATCTATTTTCCTGATGTGAGCATTGATTGTAATGAATTTTCCACTTAGGACTACTTTCATAGTGTCCCAGAAGATTTGCCAAGTTGTACTGTCACTGTAATTAATTAATTACCAGAAATTTTTAAGTTTCTACTTTGATTTCTTCTGTGACCCTCTGGTTGTTTAGGAATATATTATTAATTTTCTAGCAGCTATTGCATTTTCTGAATGTTCTTCTATATTTAATTTCTATATTTATTGCACAGTTATCTGACAGTACACATGGAATAATTTCTGTTCTTTTATATTTATTTAACCAGGCTTTGTGGACTGATATGTGATCTATTTTGGAAAAAGTACCATGTGCTGATGAAAAGAATATATACTCTGTTGTAGAGGGGTATACTGCTCTGTATATATCCATTATGTCTGTATGTTCAAGGCTGCAGTTCAGCTTCCAAATTTCTCTTCTTTTTTTGGTTTATTTGCTCTGTATTTGTAAAAGGGGGATGTTCAAATTCCCTACTATGAGTGTGTTAGTGTCTGTTTGATCTTTTAATTTTAGCAGTTTTTGCTTTATGAAGAAGATAGATGCTCCAGTATTTGGTGCACATATGTTTATCAATACTGTCTCCTTGGTGGATTGTCCTATAAACTAGTATGTAGTGATCTTTGTCTCATATAATCATTTTTTACTTGAAGATTATCATGTTTGATATTAAAATTGCTACCCTTGCTTGTTTTTGTCATTCTGGTGCATGAAATGTTTTCTATCCTTTGTCACTCTGAATATATTTTTGGATTAGATGTGCTTCTTGAATGCAAGAGACTTTTGGGTTTTGTTTTTCTATTCAATCTGCCAATCTATGTCTTTTAATTAGTTGAGGCCATTAACATTGAGACATATTACTGAGATGTGTTGGGTGTTTATTATCATTGCTTGCTTTATCTTTTGGGGTATTCTTTGTTTTTCTTTTCCTGGTGTTTTATGTTGCTGTTTATTCATTGATTTCACTAGTTTACTAGGGGTTTTTAGCTATGTGTGATTCATTGTTTTTATTGAGAATATTTTAAAGTGTTTTCTGAAGAGTTAGTTTAGCATTCATATATTTTCTGACCTTGTCTTTTTCGTGGAAATACCTTATTTCTCTATTTTGAAGAATAGCGTTGCTAGATAAGTGAGTCTAGGTTGCAAATTATTTGCTTAAGTCTTTCCTTAACTAGGTGTGATGATGCAAGCATGTAATTCCAGTACACAGGAGGCTGAAGCAGAAGAATTGCTATGATTTTGAGGCCAGCCTGCGCTACATGGTTTAAGGACAGCCTGAACTCCGTGAGATCTTATCTCAAAAAAAAAAAAAAAAAAAAAAAAAGAGAAGGAGGAGGAAGAAGAAAATGAAAAGTTTGTTTTCTCTTGGTAAATCTTGGTAGGGGCTTATCTTAAGGGCTTGATACATCACTCCAACTCTTCTGGTATATAGGATTGTGTTGAGAAGTCTGATGTGATTTTTGTTTACCTTTACTGATGATCTTTTGGGGGGGTTTTTGGCTGCTTTTTTATTTTAAAAGAGGTAAAACTAAACATAACAAAACAGAACAAAGCAGATCAAAAGAAAACAATGTAAGTGACACAGATTTCAAAGCAAGACAACAGGAGATCT